GCCTCGGCAGGGTCCATATGGATGTGGAGAGGACTTACTTTTGGGATAGGAGATGAGAAGATATCAAAGAGAGGTCCTGAACTTACAGCAGTTCAAGAGGCAGACCAGAAATTCAGAATCACTGTGCTCTTCCAGCAACGTAAGCCTGCTTTCACAGGCATTTCCCTCCAAAACAGTGTCAGAATATCCTCTTTGATATTTGAGCCTACCTGAAACTTCAAAAATATAGGTTTTAAATGGTGGGATGAGACCCAAGTAAGGTTTTCAAAGTTTATATGGGAGCCTTTGAGTAAAACAGTCTAGATACTGGACTCATGGAAAAGAGAACAGGAGATGAATATACTTGTGTCTGTACAGAGAAGATAGTATTAAGAAGGCAATCCCACAAAAATAGTTTCTTTATTGCACTGAAAAAAGTGCCTATCAATTGCTGTCACCACAGCAAAACAACCTGCTTTATTCTGCAGTAGTGGCAGGATATCTGGTTCTTTCACTATCTAGATTGTTTTATTTTAAGTCCTGGTCGGTTGCACCTTTCCTGATTTGTCACAAAACAACTGTACTTTGGGAACAAGCTGAAATATTGCCGAAAGTGATTTTATTATTATTATTATTAGTGTAAAAAATGCACTGTGTTGACATCTTAATTTAATACTAAATTTGTGACATGCTTCTCTTTACACATCATTCTTTTGGAGAAACTGTCCAGACGAGCAGTTAGTGATCCACACCTGAATCATTCATGTAAAACTGATCAATTCTAGGGATCCCTTAATAAGCAATGGCTTGAAGTCAGACAGCTCTATTGAGAGAGCTCTCATTTAATTCCAGACATCAACTACACCTTTCCTTGCCTTTCCCAAAATATCCCCACTCATAATTTCAACTCCTTCTCCTAAGTACACCTCAGAAAGAAAGAAAAAAAAAAGTCTCCTTTAAACATAAAGGAATTGTACTGAGCTTGTGAAATCCTTCTTTTTCATGAGCAATCACCATTCAGGATTCTCAAATATGCAAAACACTTAAAGCTGCCGAGTCCTTAAACAGTCCCCTGATGCACCCCAAGTTCAGTTAAGCAGCTCTCTAACTGCTCGGCGATGCCGACTGGCCAGGGGGAAGGTTATTCTGCATCTTCCCTGAGCAGGTGAGAAAACACCTTTCTATACTATATTAATTATAGCACAGACTAAGGTAGCTTTGAAATCATCAACTACTACTCTTTTTTTGTTGCAAGTAATTTATTGTAACTGTAAGAATAATGGAAGCAGGTTTTAATATGAAAGAGAAAGAAAAACAAATCTAGAATAATTAAGAACAAGGATTTAAGAATAAGCCCATTGCCTAAAGTCAGTCATACCAAAGTCAGCCATACCAAAAGAGGACAGAGGAGTTAGGGCTAGAAAAATGTGTGTTTTTTTTTTTTTTTTCCTCACAGTCTTTTCCAGCTGGCAAAGTAAACAATGGAATTAGAGGCACCCTGAAGGGATAACAACAAGCAGAAAGTAATTTCCAGTTGGCTAGGCTAATGCTTTTGATAGCAGTGGCAAAAACTAATGAAACCTGGAAGAAATTTGTCCAACTTCCAGTGTCTGAATAGTTCTGCAAACTAACTTGGAAGCATTAAGTACATTGACAGCAATGCCCGAACGTCTGATGAGGATCTGAAATATTAATGACCCAGCCACAGATATAAAAATTACTGATGAAACACTCAGAGCTCCCTGCCTGATTCAGTTTGGACTTGAATGAAGGCAACTTAAGCACCTCTGTGATTCGAGATGCATGCATTATTTAGCATTAGCAAGACACTTGTTCATTTCCACAGACAGGATTTGCTGAAAGGATTTATAAGAGAGAGCACCTGTTCCTGCTTAACTTGAAATGTCCTGTTCTCCCTCCAGCCCAAGCCACAGTGCTTTATACTGCCGAAGGAACACTCTGCCCAGGTGCTCCCTCCGGGAGCAGGGGGATGCCCCACACGAGGTTCCCCGCGCGTCCCCAGAGACCAGGAGGTCACCACATCTCCGACTTCCATATGCACAAGCCCAGCCGGCTGGTTCTCCCCAGCACTTCTGCACCAATTCTTTTACAGCAGAATAAAACATCCATGCCAATACTCTTTAGCATGATCTATGCAGCTGATAGATAAGCAGTATTACATCAGACTCTTCAAGATCCTAACCGAATATTCATAAAGAAGGCTAGAGAAGAGCAGAATGAAATGCAAAACCTGAGCTCATGAGGACAGGCACCAGAAACCATGAAACATGGAATCAGGGTTTTAAAAAGCAGGCCCTAGAGACAGAAATGCCAGCTGCCTTCTCGTTCTTTTCCCTACGGCTGTTTGCCTCATCAGCTGCTTTGCAGTTGAGTTTTCTGTATTTACAAGTATGAGGACAGTCTTAGGTACAGGTACATTAGGCTGATTTTTAATTCATGTATTTTGAGCTTCTCCATTTCTTGATACACCTTTCTATAAAAACATTTGTGAGTTTTCACTCTAGGGGTATCATCACAGCCCACACACAAAGAAATGAGAATGGTTAAAATGTGAAATTCGAAGTCCCTTATTTCAATGAGATCCTCCTCTAGCCCTGCCCCTTCCAAGATACGGAGCATAACTCTCATACAGAGATGTTTTACAGAATAGCTTCTTTCCAAGAATTCTAAGCTAGCAGCCCTGAAGCATTTTGAATGAAATAGTCGCATCTCGACTCTCCATCTCTTCCATCCGAGAATCTCCATGACTCTTCCATCGGAGGCCCGGATGTGTGCGCGCATTCTGGAAGGAGCAGCTTCGGCGCGGGGCAGGCGGCGGTGGCCAGCACAAGGCACAGCCGCATGGGCAGCGTGCAAGGAACCAGGTCACGTGCTTTCATAAAAATGTGCCAAAAGGGCAGATTTGCCACAGGATTACGAAAACGAAAAAAAGAAAAGAAAGAAAATAAGAAAATATCACAGGCATAACATTTACAGGGATCCCCCCAAAAGGACACCTTTATTCCACATTCGAACCATACCAAGCACTTAACTACACAGAGGAAGGGGAAGAGGCAGCTGCAAAGGGCTTAGGTGTCTTTTCCCCAGTCTCCCCCTCTCCCTTTTTCCTTTCAGTTTTCACTTTCAACTTGAAAATATGCAACTTTCCAACTGGATCCAGGTTACCAGTAAACTGCAGCTTCAGTGAAGCAGTAACAGTGCCTGTTACTGAAGAGCTGCCCTACAGACAATCAAATCAATGGAGAGATTTATTCCATTTTCCTCCTTCTGGGAATCAGCGCCAGTTCACAGAAGAACATTTCATTCATGAGACAGCACATGCTGGCGGTTCGTATCTGGCATAACCCAGAAAAAGATTCATATGACACAGTGGAATCCCTACATCCCTGCTAAATAACATGTAGAAAAGTCCAGCCTGCATGTCAGAAATATCTGCCACCGAACACTGCACACTTGCCCACCTAAATGTACAGAAAACACAACAAATGCACAGGGCTATTTTAACTTTGTTTTGCTGCAGTCCATTAATAGGGCTCCTATTAAGCACTGGACTGAGACATCTATAACCTAATGCCCACAGTAAATGCAAAAGCCAAGTGACAAAAGAATATGGCCTTTCTCAAAAATGAAAGGGTAATCTCTTAAAGCTTCTGAATGCACATATTCCACACAGTATTACCTTCACCTTAATGTATACCAAAAAAACAAACAAACAAACCAACCACCAAATATTACTCTTTAAAACTGTGGCTAAGAATGGAAGACTAGGGCTTTTCCCTCCCTCCCACTGCTGCAGTTCACTGGTATCACCCGTGAGCCATCTAGCAGCCTTGTTCCTACATTCCTCTTCCGAAATAACTTATTAAAACAACCATTTTTCAAAACCAATTTGAGGTCTTTAAATGAGAGCTGCTGGCAGTATTTTTCGTTATGATCAGGTATATACTACAATCTAGCATGAGACACGCACAAACCTTTAGAAAAGGATCTGCACAGACCTACCATCTCTCACTGGTGGCTTTAAAACACACCTGGATCTGTTCCAGTCTTTTATTACTCCTCTGCAATAATAAAACAATGTTTGATCGTTCTAAAAAGTTCAGAGCAGATGTGCCTACAAACTGAGCGTGATGATTTAAGTGGAAAACAGGAAGAGATGAGCTCTCAAGAAACAAAGACCCTGAGTTTATGCTAATAATTTATTTTAAAAGAATAAATTAGGAAGAAACATGTGCAGATTTCTTTAAACTCCTGTACATTGGCATTAAGCCTCAAAGGCAATTGCTTATGAATGAAATTGTCCAGTGGCAAATATGTCCTAACTTGATAACTGGTTAGAGGTGGTTAGACAGACTTTACATTCTACATAAATGAGAACATGTTTTAGATGCAACAGAGATTTTGCTGTCAAAAGCTAACTTATGAATTAATAGTGTAACGTGCACCACGGTGGCATTAGCAAAACCAGAGAGCTGAAACAACCTTTCACAGTTAAAGCAGTAAGGCACAGGTAAGCTTTAATTCAGTTCTTTCAAGCACTTTTGAGTCACTGTCATAATATAAATCTGCACTTATGGCTGGGGAGACCCTCTAATACTGTTCACGGTACTAAAACGTAGAGGCCATTTTGCATAATTTTACTGAGTTTACATTCACATTGCTTTTGTAACTAATGTTCATTTCTAACTTACACGGGCCCTTCCTTAGCTTTACTTGGACAACAACATTTATGCCTGACAGATGTCTAAGAAGATCAGGAAATAGATCACAAAACGTTTTTGAGCTCAGCATAGCATCAGAAACTATTCTGAAAAATTTTTAAAGGGGATCTCAGTTGCACTTTGGTGGGAAGCTAAAGCAGAAGGAGTGAAGACCTACAGCAAAACGTTTTTCTAAAAATTAAACACTATACTAAACTGTTTATCATTTCTTCCATCTCTAAATCTGCTTCATCCTATCCTTTACTGTAGCACATTTATCAATAAACTTTAAGAACTCACTTTGCAGTGATCATATTGTTGCTGTAAGGTTGGCACATCCCCTCCAATGGGCATTTGCTTTTTTAGTTCTTCATCTTTCGTATTCAGCCATTTGATTAACTCTTCCAGGGATGTCAGCAATCTGTTCCATTTCTCTGCACTTGCCTCCAAGTGAGCCCTGCGAAACAACATAAAAGCATTTTTAAAGCCTTGAGTGTCATAAAAAGAAAGGGATTGAACTAAAAAATGAAAAAAGTTCTATCATTAGGGTAGGAAAGTTTCAAATATTTAACTGCAAAGAACGTTTGATGTGTTAAAAGAACCTCCACTTCTAAACACTTTCCACAGAAAATGAAAATAGCAGGGAGAGGAAATAAAAACAGGATAACAAACGGACAGAGATGTACGTGCTGCTTTGACCCACCTAAAACTTTGCAGACTGGGCATTGGAGCAACACAAAGCGTTTTCTTTTATTAGGAATCTACCCGTGCAGTGCACAAAGCATGAGCATCATTTCGTGAGCTCAGGCACCCCAAAACTGAACTCTTGGATGCCCGACCGTGACTCCTCAGTGCGGAAGGGCCCCGAGCGCCCTGCGGAGCGAGCTCACCGCGCTGCTGAGGCACCGGGGCCCCGCAATGCAGCACATCGCCCGAGTCGGGAACGAGTTACGGAAGAAGTAACGTAGGGCGCGTCTGTACCCCGGGGACACCCCAAACTTCAGCACACTCATTTCTGGCATATTCAAAATTACTTTGATTTGATGGTTTCTCTGCAGCGCTATCTTTGACAAGGTCCAGCTACTTTGACTCCAGCTATTCAGTGCTCTTATGGATTTCATTCAGAGACCAAAAAACGTATTGTTAATCTGTACCAGTACAAAATGATTCATTTTACCACCCAGGTGATGGAGTAGACCTGAGCCTTTTTCAGCATAGTCTGACACTAGCTCTGCACCTTCCTGTCTGCTTTTGAAGACTGAATGAACTGAACTTTTTTGTATTGTCTCATAGGTTTTCTCTTTTCTCTTTTGCCCCCCCCTTTTTTTTTTTTTTTTTTTTTTTCTGAATCACTGCAGCTTGCATCCTGGCACTTTCAACTCCTCTCTATGGTTCTATCTGCTTAAATGGCTGTTCCAATGAATTTTCAGTACTGATCTGAAAAGCGCTAGCTTGAAAGGGTGCTGCGAGGCTTACTTCAAGGCAAAGTTATGTTTGGGTATGCTGGTATTTTTCAGGGATACTGGGATAGATTAACAAGAAAGTAGGCACTAAGAGTGTAAAAGAGAAAAAAGGACGTATAGAGAAAAAAAAAGTCCATCCCTGTAAGAGCAAATGAACTAGCTTCTGGAAGAAGAACCCACTCTCCTGCTCTGCTCCATTCAGGAAAATATGTAGGTAGCTACTTGAGAAAGAAATTTACAAGTGAATGCTAGACATGATGTTCTTCTGCATACAGCTCTCTGCAGCAGTGTTTCTGTCTTCCCTTGTTTCTGTCACTAATACCGTTCTCTCTGCTTGTAGCCTTGGTCAAAAAACAGCTGAGCCAGAGTCCTCCCTTTTGGCATCTTTTGCACAGCCCTGGCCCACGGTGTCTCAATTCCTGGGTGAAAATGGACTTTCTCAGCTCTCCTCAGCTCTTTTCCTCTCTTCAACACTCACTAACCAGACCTGCTTTCAAAGCAACCAGCTTCCATGCTGTGCTGTTAACCACATCCATACAGGAAGTCACTCACAAGGTACTTAACTCCACAGAAAATTTACAGCCTGAGCATTTGCAATAATTAGACCCTCCAGCTACCCACAATAAAACATCATTATATGTTTTTTTTTCTTTTAAACAAACCACGATTAAAATGTTTATATCCAGAGTTTTGCATACTTCTGAAAGTAAAATCTATTCCTCATGACTTATTACTGTCTCTAGGAAGGGGAAGCAGCTCTCACTTCTAAAAACTGGCACGGTCTGAAGCTACAGGAATCTGTTCTAATTATTTGGCTGTATTCTTGTACACAAAATGAATTAAGAGTTTTGAAAGGGGAGGAAGGGGAACTGTCACTAGTTAGGTGTTTAAAGAACTCTGCAACAGCGGCTCACTGTTAATTTAACATTCCCTGCAATAACGTTAACAGTGAACGAACTAATTTGGCATTAATGTGAAGGATGCAGCATATAATATTAAATTCATTGTAATTTACTCTAATGAGTATCCATGTACACGCCAGATTAATGACAGCAGCAAAACACTATCTTATAATTTTGAAGCCCTCTGCAAAGCAGACTTCAGGGGGCAGAGATGGGGTGCAGGACAGCAAGGGAGCTAAAACCCCTCTCTGAACACAGAGCACCACCCACGCCAGAAAGAAGTTAATAAAGGGGAAACCCCAATATCAACCTGTACTTTGCCCAAATGTTACCCTTCCAATCTTATCCATGTGAAAATAAAAGGGAGAGGCACCAGCAGCAGCAGCAGCAGCTGATGAGCTGAGCAAACGTTCAATGCTCCCGAGGAACATGGACAGGCACTGAGCAAAACCCACTCTGAGCAAAAGCTGCTGAGAAGGAAGGGCACCTAGATACCCTCCAAATTGCATTCCAGTGCAATGTGTTAGTGGCACGTGTACATTTGTGATCCAGGCATTATCACAGAGTTAGAGCCAATAAACTATGCTGAACTTCTGCAATGTTTCCTTTGCTTCTTTGCATTGGAAAAGCCTCTTTCTTGTCTTGTTCAGAAATTGAGGCTTCTACCAACACACAGTCTGCAAGCAAAGCTTTGAGTGCTTGCGTCCATGTGACAAATAAATTGCCGATTTTCAGGGACTTGCCAGGTGAAGTGATGGCCTAAGAATCTATTTTGATAAAAATACAGGTCAGTCATATATGACTGTTATGTTTTGAGCACTGGTTGCAGCAACAGCATTCCCCAGCATCACCCTCCTTGAACTCAGAAGCACTCCTAGTGGAATCTCAGCTGAGCAGGAAAAACCCGGGCTCTCCAAAAGGCCGGTCGGACCCAGCGCACCCTCTCTCCATCCCCTCGTGTGCCCGGGGGGAACAGGACCGTGCAGAGCAGCAGCACTGACACGGCTCCCCTTGGGCAGCATTCACAGCTGGGGACCTCCTCCGCTCTTGCTTCACCTGTTTAGGCAACACTTTTCCTTCTGAGCAACAAGGGAACACATGGACTAGAAAAGGTTGGTGGGTGGGTGGTCTAATTCTAGAGAATCATCTGTTTCTTCCCATACTTTTACCTCTATCTTGCTCCCTAAATCCCCCCTGCCTCCCTGGAGAAGAAGAGAGCATGCACCAGTTCTGCTGCTTGTTATTTCCCAGCAGAGGCTTTCGCCGCTCTTGCCTACGTTAGAAGACTGAGCTGCAATCAAGAGCAGGGGAAAAAACACGAGCTCAGAAACCTGCCTCTGTTTGGAGGCAACTGCAATTTGAAAGGTTAATTTATTTCTCTTGCATTTGTCTCCAGTCTTCCTCTCACTGCCTTTTACTCGCTGGCTGTGGCTCAGCAGTGTTACACACAGCAGCAGAGCAGCACGAACACGTGCACGCTGCCCAGTGGGCCACGTTTCAGACTGACCCAGAAAGCAGTGAGTGTAGGCTGCAGTCTCTCTGTTGCTGCCTCAGGATTAACAGCTGCTCAGGTAAAAAGGCCATTTGACCATTAATTCCTCTCAAATTATAGTTAACTCCATGAAGGGTCAATCAACTGAATTGTTATTGCCAGAGCTTTACACTTGCTGATTAAACTACTAAGACATGAACATGCTTTAGTCGCTCTCGCAGGTTGATTTACTTGTGAATCCAGCTCACAAAAGCCCAAATTTAGCATTTGTACTAACAGCCTTGTGAGGTGGTGGGGACACTCTCCACAAGCTCTCCTGCCCAGGTGCTTGGTGTCTCCGGTCCCAGCTCTGCCCGTGGGCTTTGCCTGAGCAGATTCTGCCAACCATGCCGAGGTGGCCAGCAGGCTGGTGACAGGGCGAGTGCAGATGAAAAGCAAATGTCACCGTTGCCTCCCATCCCACACTCTTGTGCCTGAATTCCAAGCTCAACTCATTTTTTTCTGGCCTTTGGAAAATTAATATGAGAGCTTAACATTGTTCTGTTCTATTAAAAGTACAATTTCCTTTAATCAACAGGAAGGCAGTAGCAATTAGAAGCTCTATACAGGCTTTTCTGTGCAGTTACTTTAATGTGGAATTTTATTGACATTAATGAGTATGGTAATATCTACTTCCAGAATGACATTGTAAAGATTTTATTAGCATCTACACTTGGACAAACATTGAGCTTTTCACTTAGCACTGCTCGGGTCAAAAAATTTAAAAGACTTTTCTTGATTAATATATGCTTTAAAACATTTTTTATTGAATAGCTCTCAGAAAAGTCTGCTAGCAATATGGATCTAGACACTCGTGATGCAGTGTTATCAAAGTATTCATTTCAGTGGTAAAAACAAACAACAACAGAAAAACACTCTGATTTCTGCTTGCTAATTTTAACTTCACAGAACTACTTCAATGACATTGCTTTTGATATGCAATAAGGAAAGAGCCAACCTACTTTTCTGGAAAATTTAGCCCAAATTAGCAAGTTGCAACTGTACAGCTTTGGAGAGAGCGGAACAAGCAGCTGAGCATCCACTGTGAGCAAGTGCATCAGGTCCCTTAGCAGAAAGCCCGGAATTGCCCTCAATACCAGTCATGCTCCTGGAGCCTTCCCGCAGCAGCAGCCATGCCCCACTCATGTGCTGGTGTTTCTGCTGCTCACCTGATGTTGGCTGACTTTGCCTTGAGGTCGTTCCAGCGCTGGTTCATGTCGTCAAGTCGGTGCTGGAGCAGAGCAGCTTCCTCGGAGTTTCCCAAGGCTTTCACCATCTTCTGCCTGTTTCCATCAATGCTTTTGAAGATGTCATTGTGGGCATCTATCTCAGCTTGGATGTCCTGCAATACCAAGAAGGAAAACCCAGACACCTTAGGTCTCTGTTTAAAGCACGAGAGATGTTACTCCTACTGCGCTCCAAAACCACAAGGCCAGAGCACATAATCTTTCTTGTGCAACTTGGAAGACAGATGAAGGAAAAACCTGCAAAAGAGGTTCAAAAACCTGCACCCCCGTTAACGTCATTATAAAAGGTTCCCCTTTTTTAAGCATGAGAAAAGGAGCTTGAAAATCATACTCGACTGTGAAACAGCACTTATAACCATGAATAAGATTTTTTAAAATCACTCATGATATTTGATTTCCTACTGGTTTCCCACGTTTCCACCTAGTACTTGCAAAACTAGTGTTTGCAAAAGTACTAGAAACCTCCCTGCTCAGACGCTGCACGCACTCAGCCTTTGCAACGCTGTTTCTTCCCTCTTTGGAAAAAAAAAAACACTGCAGAAACTTTACACAACTAAGCAAATCATGTATTTTTTGACACATGCAATGAATGTTTTTAACTACAACCTGCATCCCTAAGCCACAACTAAATGATCATAGCTAACCAAAAACTATGATATATGCCATATTGATAATGTGATATGTAAGAGGTAGACATACAAAGGTCTGCATTTTGTCGAAAAAAATGAAAAAAATAGCACTTTCAGTTTCATTTTAAGTTGCTCGTTTCTCTGTCCTTTGAAATTCAAGGTTTTATTCTCCCAATCTCATTTCTGCCTCAGAAAACACATTACAGTAGCTGTCTTCATTTAACCAAGGCTGGTATTATTTTTAAAACATAAGACCCTCAAACGAAATCTCCTATATTGCTGCCAGTGCTTTCTAGCTTCTGTACCTCAGTCTCTAACAGAGAAATACGGATGTGTGAAGAGCCAGGCGGTGCACTGGCTCTCTCAGTGGGATTAATCAGCAAAGACTGTCACAGAAACCTGATGCAGACATAAACAAACTTCTTTGCAAGGAAGAAGCTCAATAACTCCGGTGTCCCCTAAAGGCTGTCCTCCTGCAGGCAGCCCCCCGGTGCCTTTTGGCTATCCTCATGGTCAGGAGGAGGCAAATAGGGGGGTTCTGTCAGCTCCTGGCCCCAAGATGTAGGTCTGCCTCAAACCACGGCTGCTATAGATAGCTGCAAACAGGAGCCATGGTGACATCAAAGATTTCCTTGGTTAGGGAATTAAAAACCAAGCACATGTAGAGCCAGGGCGATGGGGAAGCAGGGAGGCAGTGAAGCTCTGCCTCTCCCGCTGAGCCACACAGCTGCTGTTGAGCCATACGGTGTTGAGCACTGGGTTATTGCCCTCAGCTTCACCACTTCACACGGGAAGGACTACCCAAGGGAGAGAGACGGTCCAGGGAACCCTCTAATGTCCTAAACTCTTACTATTTTCAGTTCTACTTTTTAAATTTTATCTGTTGATATATTGCCACTATCACAGGCAAAATATTTTCCCCTTTAATGGCCCAAAGCCCTTCTTTTGAAGGTAAAAACATGATTGATAGAAGAAAACTCTATATTTGCAAAACATGCAAAAATTTGCATTAGTCCATTTTGACTATAAAGAGTACTTGAGATTTTACCTGAGGTATATAAAGACATAATGCAGAGAAGTTATTTTATTACCCAAGTGAATAAAAAGATGTTCCCATCATGTTACAGATTCTATCCTGAAGATCCCTTAATCAAGCTTCTATTGTGTTCTATGCTATGCAAAATACAGCTTATCCTCTTATGAAAATGGTCTGTAACATTTTAAATTATTTTTTAACACAATTCCATTAGAACAAAGGTTTTACATCATTATATACAGCGGTCACGGATCACACTCCAAACTGGAGAACTGCGTATCCCCAGGGAGGCTACTCCAGGCCATGTTGCCAGGACAGTTTTTGTGTTTCTCAGACCCACAACAAATCACGGCCCGTGGCTGCAGCAGCACGGGCGCATGCGTGCAGCCCAAAGGACATGTAAGTCTCCCAAGAGCAATTGCCCACTTCTTTCATTGACAACAGGCAAGCCAGCAAGGATCTGAGTTACAGAAGTGAGGAAGAGCTCTGTGTGCGCGTATGTGAGCCCTGTGTGCGCGTACCTGAGCTCTGTGTGCCTGGAAGAGTTCTTCCTCTACAGATGAGCACTGCCCATGGCAGCCTCTGCTGAAGCGCCTCCACTGAAACAGCTGGGAAAGCCAACGTCAGTGGCAACCAGAGGACACAGCTGCACGCCACGGATATCAGCCAGAACATCCTTCTTTGAGGTCTCATAGCAGGTAGCAAGGCTGTGGAAGCTTTTTATAGCAGATTGCTTGTTCTATTTTGAATGGGATACATTTTACCTGCTGCTGCCAACTGCCTCCAAGTACATTGCTGCGTCAGACGTTCCCTTCAGCCTGCGCTCCACTTGGAGCGTTCACTTTCTGATAGCCCTCAGGGAGGGGAGAGAATCGGGGGCATACGAGGGTGGCTATTGCCACAGGAAAAAGGGACTTTCAGTGCGATCTCCTTTGCAAATGCAAGGGATGGGTGGGAGAGGGAAGCTGTTGTAAAAAAAAAAGACACCGTTAAAAGGAATCCCCCAGTCTGTGCAGAATCAGGTTTTCATCCCAGCCAGGGAGCCTCTCCTCTGGCCTCGGGAGACGCTCACAGCCTGCCAGTGCTGGTTTTGGCAAAGCTCTCCCCATCTGCTGCCCCACACAGGGCTGCGGGGGCTCTACAGTGTTAGGTGAGGAGCTAACGCTGAATCCACGCTCAGGAGAGTAGTAGGGAGGCAAAACCCTTGGGCAGAACTGCCCTCATCATAAAGCCACCACTGGCAGAACCGCCTATAAGGAAAGACATTAAACCTCTCCAACACGTCAGATGCGGAGCCACGCTGCCTCAGCACAGCCGCTGTGGCTACAGTGTAAGAAGGATCAAAGCAATTTGGAAAAGCAACTCAGTTTAAATGTGACAGAAACTCAATTACTACTCAAGTTCTTACACAGTTCAGGAAGAAAAACACTTTTTTCGGGGGGAAGGAAAAACCTTTGGATATTTTTCATGCCTGATTTTCGCACTTTGGTATTACCAAAGTCTTGCACTGGGGCTCCGAGTTTCCAAAAAGCTGTCTCAACTTGCACTTAAATTTAATGGAAAAATACCTTAATAGGTGACATATGGTGTGGGTAAGGCCTCTTTTAATCACGAGAATAACGATGCACTTAAGGCTGAGAATGGCAGCCTGTATTTGACAACTTCTGTGGCTCAGTCACATGGCAGAGCCCGCACATCTGAAGGGCATCATAAACCCATTAATACTAATTGCAGCAGGCACACAGTGGGACAGAACAAAGCCACGCAGCCCAGCCCACTTGAGTGTAATACGATGCTGCTTTCGCAAAGCAAGGGGGTGTCCTACAAGCTTCTGCAAATGCCATCTGGCTCCCGCACTACAGCCACAGGAACAGCACTTGTAATTCTCTCCTTACAACATACATTAATGGATACAAAAAGTTAGAGCGAGCTCGCAAGCCAGAATCACTGCCATGAGGCTGTTTCTCCTGGCAGCAAACGCCGCAGCAAGAAGGAACAGGATGGGTGTGTGGGAAATCATGTGAGGGAGAGACAAGGCAGGGGAGAGGGGAACTTGCTCAAAAAATAAATCAAAAAAAGAAGGAAAATACCGAAAACTTGCTCAATAAGCAGTTTCTGATCAAAGTTCAACAACAAAAAAATGTTAACATTCTTCTCCAGCACCAAAGCATTCTCCTAAATCATGTTACAAACTTCAACACAATAGGCAAAATGACAGTAAGCTTTAGGCTAAAAGCTATGGCAGCTGTGAGATTTGTAAGTTCTGCTTTTGTCAAGAATTGCTACAATCAATTCCTTTGACACGAAATACGACTCTGGCATATTCGGAATCACAGAGGAGAGCCTGGAATTTGCAAATGCCAGGGCTTTGTACGGTACAAAGCAATTAAAACACTAGTAACAAAACTTCTTAAGAGTATTGCGAAAAGTCTGCGGCTTCGAGAAAGGGGAGGAGAATTTGAAAGGGAGAGAAACAAGCACCCTGTCCTCTAGCACCTGACCCAATCGTCAGAGACTAAGAGCAGAGATTACAGCAGGACAGGGATGCCCGGCTGACGGAGTGGGGAAGGGGGAGGAGAGAGTGTTTCACGCAGCCCGAAGGAATTCACTCCGCAGATGTTTTCACCTGCTCTTACTTTGGGAAGATACTGGCGGACTGGGTAAACTGCATTTGCCTCCTAAGCTCCAAAAGTTGGCTACTGCCTGAAAGTAAAAATTGAAATACTTCTTTTTTAATCTTTAAGCTGTAAGTGAAACACCATGCACTATTTACTGACTCTGGCTTTGAATGGCACAACAAGGTTTTTGATAGAGAAGCGTACCATGAAAGAAAAAAGAAAATCCAACATGCAAAGCCAAGCTAAAGAGAATTACAAATATATGACTGAGGTCTCCTCCAAGGTGCCGACAGGTGGATGACGGCAACGTGCTTGAGAAGTTTCATGTCTCAGTCCCTGTATCTAATCAGTGCAGTCGCTGCAAAGTCAAGGCTCCTGCCTCTCACCACTGCTGCTGCCAAGTCTCCTCGTACGAGGAGAACTAGACTGCAGAAGGCAAGAACAGAGGGAAGAAGGGGAGAACTGGCACACTCATGGGAAATAACCCTACTGAAAAAACCAGCAGATTTTCCAATTCGATTAAGACACTTCTCAACCAAATTTAAAAACAAATTATGGAGCTCCTCCTTTGCGTGAAGTGGTATCACCAACACCCTGGAAAGCCGCCTTAAACTCATGGCTTGGCAAAGCCCCAACCTTCCATCACTTCCTTTAAGGAAAGGCCATGATAGGATTAACTGCTCCAGAACAAATCCTGTCGAACTTGAAACGGGCAAGGAGGGAAGCACCAGTCTTCCATGCGTGAGAGGCAGTCAGAGGAGGGTCACGCAAGGACCTTTGCAACAACGCTGAGAATAAAGCTCTGGTTTTAT